AATGTAATTATGGCTGCATATTGAAGCTCCAATTCAAAAGTGGCTCATGTGGTTAGGATGCTGGGTTGGAGGTTAACAAGCCCGCATGTCAAACCTGAATTGACTCCACACTTGCACCTGCTGTCACTCACAGTTTGCCAAACAGCAATGGGAGTGAGGGGGTGGGAATTCTTAAGGATGTAAGTAAACAGAAAAGTAAACACAGATGGCTGAGGCTTCATTTAACTTCTTTATAAACATATAAAATGAATTTTACAATACCAGTTGTAGATTTCTCCAACATGGAGCAAACTCAAACAGAAGCAGACATGTTACAGGTTCAGAGCAGAGCTCTAGTTTTCAGCAAGCGACTTTCACTTTAGAGCTGAGCACAGAACAAAAATAAACCACACCCAGATTCTCTGTTTAAGTTTCAGCCAATTCAGCTCTCATTGGGGACTTTGTTACTATGAATATAGTTCATGAATATACTCTGACAACTATAAGTGGCCTGGAGGGGGAAAAGGGGTTTTACCTATGTGAGTTTTTGCAGAAAAATCCCAGAACTGGCTTTGCTTCTGCTGTATCTAGATCATGGGTGTCAAACTCGCTGCATCATGTCACTGTCATGTGATGTTTTGCGGCATTTTTCCCATTCACGCAGCTGGGGTGGGCATGGTCTCTACATGATGCATTCAGCTTGCAGGCCGCCAGTTTGACACCCTTGATCCAGATGGATCTTTCAATAAAGCTTGGTAATTTAACAGTTTGGTCTAGTGGTTAACAGTTTGGTCTAAGAAAGCAAGGGATTATGATTTCAAGGCCTGCCTTAGCCATGAAAGCCAGCTGGATAATCTTGGACCAGGCACTTTCTCTCAGCCCAACTCACTTCATAGGGTTGTTGTTGTGGGGAGATAGGAGGAAGCTGTGTTGGATATGATCACCACCAGTTATTTGTAAAAATAATAAAGGTCGGATATAAACAAATAAATAAATAAATAAACAAACAAATAAATAAAATCTCTCTCCATAAGTCTTTTTTTTCTTCCTGTGTTCAGCTAGAAATTGCCTTTCTTCAGAGCTAGCTCCATGTAAAACAAAAACAAAAAAAAGGAATAATAAATAAACTATCTATCTCTGGAGGTAATTTTGCAAGTTCAGACAAGATCTTGAAGCAATCTCAATCACTTGATTTTAAATCTTCTGATTCTGCTCCAAATTCTTTTCTCACCTAACACATAAATAATATGATGATTCTTCAGTTTCTCACATGGAAGAAAACCATTCACAGATTTTTTCCCAGGGCGTTTTCTGGAAAGTAATATGAGAAAACATTGGATGGCTTGTTAAAAGAAGATCATCAGCTCAACCTTGTACGTAGGTTCCAAAAGGTACACTTCAGTGTGTTACCTCCAGTTAGGTGCCCATAAGGTTCCTTGTTCATTGCTTCCAAAAAAATCTGTCCTTGGCATGTTGGCTGTGGATGGGAAAAGGAAGGCAGATTGCAGAATCACCAATAGCCTCAGAAAATGTTCTCCAGTTAAAGGAAACATCAGACACTGTTAGTTCGGTCTCAACTCTTTGAGATTTCAGTCAGTAGCAGCCTAATAAAAACATGACAAAGGCTCCACCTGCTGTGTTCCTGAAAATCATCAGCTTGCTAATAATAGTATTAGATAGGGTTACAAAATGTGTGTGTGGCTAGTAAATAACACAAGTACTTTCATTCTGTAACATCTATTTAATGCTCTATATGAATCAGTCCAATTTCATATTGGCAAACCATGGTTAACCTTCCCCACTCCCGCTGCCATGGTATAATACACTATCTGAAGCCATCCCAGAGGAATAAGTGACAACTAAGCCCAGATATGTGTGAGGGAACAAAGATGAACACAGCCCCTCTCTAATACCGATAGTTCACAGAGTGTATTGTAGATGCAGTTAATAAAATCCCCAGTCTGGCAAGATTTTGTCTAGAGTGTGAAACAATAAAGAACTCAATCTGGAAGAAATACCATTCTCAGTTTTGGCTCTGACATATGGCCAGTAAAATAATCTGAATATGAAATTTGGTTAAAACACTGAATTGGAAAGATGGCTCTAGATGACATCTTTTATTATATGCAGGCCACATCTGGACTGCAAAAATCCAAAGCATCACTAAATGGTAGGAAACTTAAAATATCTCTATCTCTTTGTTGCCATCTATTGGTCCTCTCTAGAATTTTGCAGCCTGGATAAACTATTCCTATAATTATTCTCAGCTTGTCTTTTAAAGTAAAAGAGGGAAGCAGAAAATTAACAGAGGCAACAAGCAATCTTCTGATCAGGAGGAATGATGACCCTGCTGTATGATCCAATCCCATTCAGTTGAGAGATTTAGCAGAATTACTGCCAGCAGAGGCTGAGAGGCAAAAGGTTTGAATTTGTTAAGAGGAGATATTCTAGTTGGCAACTCAATGGCATTAATACACACGTGAATCATACATGATTCCCAATTGTCATAAAAACATATGCTGTACTTCAGGGGTGTCAAACTCAAATTCATCGGGGGCCGCATCAGCAGTTTGGTCCCCATCAAAGGGCCGGTTGTATCTGTAGGTCTATGTGTCCACTCTTTATTATCATAAATTAATGTCACTGCATTCAATTATTACTGTTTTTTGTAATAATGTAAGTAATAACTAGCTCTGAAAGCAGAAACATAGTCAGAATAATGACAAGTAGATATTCAAATGTACAATTATTGTACAATGTATTGAAAAATGTTTTTTGGTAACAAACATTAATTTTTTTTTAAACATACAAATATTGCCAAACACTGTTTATTAAACATATGGAAAACACAAGGCATTACCTTTTTTTTAACTTTTATAGTGCCCAGCCATGTGCCCCCTTTTAAAGTGCCCAGCCATGTGCCCCCTTTTAAAGTGCCCAGCCATCTGCCCCCTTTTATAGTGCCCAGCCATCTGCCCCCTTTTATAGTGCCCAGCCATCTGCCCCCTCCATTTACTTTACTTACCTTTTACTTCTTTCTTTCTTTTACTTCTTTCTTCTTGCTCCTCTCCGCGGCGTCCGCGCGCTCCTCTGATCCCTGGAGATGTCGGGCGGACGTCACGTGATGACGTCACGTCCGACACCCAGGGAGCAGTGCGGGGCAGGAAGAAGTCGGGCCAGGTCCCGGAAGGTAAGTAATTTTTTTTTTTTTTTTTTAACTTGAGCCATTTTTAAAATGAATTTACTCCGTGCAGGCACGGAGTAAATTCATTGAAAAAAAAAAGGGGGAGGCTGCAAGGCTGGCGGCGGCACCGCGGGCCATCAGACGAGGTCTGGCGGGCCGGATTTGGCCCGCGGGCCTTGTGTTTGACACCCCTGCTGTACTTTGTGGAGGACATGGTATAATGGAATGTCGTGAGGAGGAGGCTCCCCAGGAGGGAGGGGACACACCCCAGCGGAATAAGTGACAAATAAGCCCAGATATGTGTGAGACAACAAAGATGAACACAGCCCCTCTCTAATACCGATAGTTCACAGAGTGTATTGTAGATGCAATTAGTAAAATCCCCAGTCTGGCAAGATTTTGTCTAGAGTGTGAAACAATAAAGAACTCAATCTGGAAGAAATACCATTCTTAAGTTTTGGCTCTGACATATGGCCAGTAAAATAATCTGAATATGAAATTTGGTTAAAACACTGAATTGGAAAGATGGCTCTAGATGACATCTTTTATTATATGCAGGCCACATCTGGACTGCAAAAATCAACATAATGCAGAATGTTTTGAGTTTTATTTTCAAAGAAAATGACAACAGTGGCAATGGATTTATATCACTGACAGATGCTAAAATATTGCTGCCCCTTAAACATCTGAGCCAAGAATTGTAGTTTTTAATCAGAGTAAAACCAATTTGATAAAGTTCAGTGATTCCATTAATAGTTCAGAACATTAATTAATAATGTTTTGGAGAGGGGAGTGCCCCGTCATTGAATTTGATTTCAACTTGCAAAAACAATTGAGTGATGAATGTGAATTATTGATCTTTGGTGTCAACTCAGTTTGTAAGTATCCTTACAATGCTTCATCCATAGTTAAGCAAATTGAACTCAAATCAAGAAGTTACAGAAGTGTTCTCTTGATCACAGAAAGGTCACTCTACTCATAAACTTGCACAATGAAGAAAGATCACATTTCCCGTCTGTTACCTAGGCAACAGGACTCTACTGAAGCACCATACCATGCAGCCAAACAGGTAAGACTGACTGACAGACAGTATCCAAGAGGCAACTTGTGGAGCACTGTGACGCAAATCCAGACAGAGATGAGAGTGACAAAAACCATGTTATTTATAAGTGTGGTTTTCCTCTGACAATGCCCCCACTTCCCAAATGTAGTGTCAATGCTGCAGATGGACAGGATGAGAAGGAATATATTTGCTAGCAAGACCTCATTAACCTTCTTTGTACAAGATCATCTTTCATGCAGACAATTCATTTCATTCATGAAATTGAATGAACAGTTTTCAGCACAAACAAGCTACCGTTTGGCCTTCTAGGTGCTGCTGAACTCCAATTCCCATCTGCCTTTGTCAGCATGGAAAGAGAAATTTTAAGAGGTGAGGTCCAATGTCTGCAGGGCCATCCATTGCACATCCCTGGCTTAGATGAACAAGACTATATCTACTCCTCCCACACATTATCTATCTACATATCTACCCAAATAATTGATCATGGAACAAGAAAGGAATTAATTTACATGTTGGTGTCACTATGCAAGTACAAAATATACAATTGTATGTTGCATCAACTTCTCTAGATTTCTTTAAAGAAAAAAACACGTTTGTGAAATTGTTTTCATTTCTCCACAGGAATACATTCTTAGTGGGAGCTTCTAATTCTTCAGAAGGACCCAAGAGCAAGTCAATCTGCTAACAATTTAGCCCGTCATGGTGCTCTGTTGATATGCATCAAAATGGACTCTGCTCCAAAACAGTGACTCACTAAAACAAGAAAAACTTTTAAAAACGATCACCAGAATTTATTTGCCCTTTTTCATTTTTGCTATCTTCTCCTTTCGCTTCTTTACATGCTTTGGAATCTTGTGTTTTCTCTTCTCCCTTTGAGCCTCTTTGACTATTTTCTTCCTTTCCTGGAAAAGTAAATCCAAGTGAGAAACATACATTGACCAAGTTTTTTCTGTTTTAAAGAACAAAAGAATGCCAAGGACGTTTATATAGCGATGAACGTGGCACTCAGAGCAGCCTCCCCTTCATGCAAAAATATTTTCCCCAATTGAAGAAAACTGTCCCACGAACCTTTTTGTCAACACCTGTTTCAGCAGGCTGGTCTTTAAGATGCCCTGAGTCTTCCTGTTCCTTACAACATGAGTCTGAATTGTAAGAGCTATCATCCTCATCCTCATCATTAGAATCTGCCTCATTGTTATTATTTTCAAGGAGTGCAGGCACCTACAACAAACCAAAAGATTCATTTTTTTCTTCACTCTTGCCCGCCATCAGAAATTCTTTGGATACGTGAAGTTCAGCCTTCACAATGTTCTCCGGGAGCTGAATACTACTGGAAGCTGATGTCCAAGACATACAAAGAATTCCAAAAGGTTGCTCTAAGTTGGATGTTAAGAATGCAAGGACTGTCAAAGGAGAATCTATATGTTTGAACCATTAACATAGCTAACAAAATTCTTCTATAAACTCAAACTGCCCAATATTTAATCAATATTATTGATGTAAAGATTAGGGATATTTTGGCAACAAAACAGCTTTAAGCTCTTGTTCTCACTGAAGAAACATGGAGCAATAGAACCATAATACTATTAACCTTCTCATCATTCCTTATCACCCATCCCCTCCCACTTATGATTGTATGACTGTAACTTTGTCGCTTGCATCCTTACAATTTATACTGACTGTTTCCTAGTATGATTTGATTGCTTATTTATACCCTATGACTATTATTAAGTGTTGTACCTGATGATTCTTGACTCTTGATGAATGTATCTTTTCTTTTATGTACACTGAGAGCATTGTGTGTCCAATCACACTTGGCCAATAAAAAAGAATTTTAATTCTAATAATTAAGAAAGTTGGAAACCAGGAAGAAGATCCAATGTGCAGCTATCAATTAAAGTTTTTGCTTCATCTGTAGGCAGGTGACCAGCAAGCTTATTCTAGCTCTGAAAATCATTGTTAAAGAATTAAAAATAGCTAGTCATATATGTAGATTTACAAATGCTAATTATATTTGCATATCATTTTAAGTCACACTAAGATTGGGCTTAGATGATCCTGAATCTAAACTTTAGTCAGGAGAGGTTTAACTGTAATCTGAATACATGTAGTCCTCAGCTTACAACCGTTCATTTAGTGACTATTCAAAGTTACAACAGCACTGAAAAAAGTGACTTATGACCATTTTTCATACTTACAATCATTGTAGCATCCCCGTGGTCACATGATCAAAATTGAGACGCTTAGCAACGGACTCATATTTATGACAGTTGCACTGTCCTGGGATCATGTGATCTCCTTTTGTGACTTTCTGACACAAGCCAATAGGGAAGGCAGATTCACTTAACAATCCTGTTACTAACTTAACCACCACAGTGATTTGCTTAACAACTGTGGAAAGAAAGGTACTAGTAAAATGGGGCAAAACTTACTTAAATGTTTCCCCTTTATTACTAAAGAACACAGTCCTGAAATAACACCATCTTACCTTTTGAATACCAGATAAATCCTTCTTTAATCCTGTCACTGTCTGGTAGAGAATCTGCGCAAAATAAAGAACAGCAAAACAATCTGAATGTGGATTTCTCAAATCTTTGGTCAATGATCCTAATAAAGATCTGACTTATATATACAGCATTACACTATATTACAGTGATGGTGAACCTTTTCAGCACCGAGCGCTCAAACCGGAACACGCATTCATGCATGCTTGCCGGAGCACCGGAAAAAAGACCAGCTGGCCAGTGCGTGCATGCCTAGTTTTTGGGCATTTTGGGGGCCGTTTTCAAGCTGTTTGGGGGGCCATTTTTGGCTATTTTCCGGGCCATTTTCCGGCCTTTTTGGGGCAATTTTCATGCCATTTAACAGGGAATTTTCAGGATGGTTTTGGCTATTTTTTGGTCGGTTTTCAGGCCAGTTTTTGGACTTTAGGCCTGAAAACAGCCTGAAAATGGCTCAAAAACAGTCTGAAAAGGCCTAAAAAATGGCTAAAAAAGGTCCAGAAAAGCAGCCGAAAAATGGCCCAGAAAACAGCCCGAAAAAGGGTTTTCGGGCCATTTTCCAGTGCTCCAATGCCTGCAAAGATCAGCTGACCAGAAACCAGAAGAGCAGCTGGCAATGGCGCGCATACCCACCGAGAGGGCTCTGCATGCCACCTCTGGCACGCATTCCATAGGTTCGCCATCACAGTTATATTACCTTCTTGTGAGACAGAAAGCATCAATTACTTCACCAAAAATTATTTGTTGCTGTTACCATTCAACATGCTTCTGGGGTGGTAGGCATTGCATTCTGAGCTTCTGTCCAAAAAAACCTCTCAAATTAATATGCTCATATTTTTTACAGATCAAACGATTCTTAAAAAAGGAGAAATGAGGGACTTCCGGTTTGTCGGCTTCGCTAGCGGCAGGGATTTGCGATCCTGCGCGATCCCTGCCGCACTAGCCGCTTTGGTGCCTCCGATCCACGGATCTGGAGGCTAAGGCTGCCACGAAGAGGCAGCCGAAGATAGGAGGGATCCGGACAGGGGGTTGGGGTTTTCGCAGACCCCTTCCCCACCCGGCTTAACCCTCTTTTCTCAAGACGGTGGAGCGGCGGTCAGCAATGGCCGCCACAAAGAAGCTGACAGCTGGACAAGATTGTGCTGGAGGAAGAAGGAGAAAGTTCTGAAGCAAAAGTTTTTTGGCTGAACTGGGACTATAAGATACAAGTAATATCCTGAAAATTCTGATTTTTTGAAAGATACTTTGTTTCCAGAAGAGATTTACAAGCGGCGAGTGAAAGTGTTTTAAGAGAAAGTTTACTCTCCTTCCACATGGAACTAACAAATGGATATTGAAAATCCTGCTATTTTACAGAAGGTAAAAATTTAAAGCTTTCTGTTATAAGTGGGAAGGGAGAGGACAAAAGGAAAATTTTTATTAAGATTTTGTTGGAGGAGATGCCTGGAAGATTTTGAGATTGGAAGTTAATTGTAATAAGACTTTAAAATACAGATTGGGTTTTTTTTTTCCCCTTGCCAATTGATATTACCCCAGGAAGAAAAAGTGTGAAGAACTTTGTGTTCTGTTTGGATTGTTTGATGACTTTGGGATTTTGGGGAATTGTTTCAAGCTTTGAATTATCTTGGTTGTTTTAAGAAGAAGAAGAAGAGAAAAAAGAAGAAGAAAAGGTTTATAATGGCTTTATCTGTTGATGAACTGAGAGAGGAATATGGTAAAATAAAAAAAGAAGGTAAAGACGGTGTGAGAGAAATGTTTTGCTTTTTAGAAATGGCGCTTGCCACTTATCAACAAACACAACAATTAATGGAGGATGCAGAAGAAGAAGAAGAAGAAGAAGAAGAAGAAGAAGAAGAAGAAGAAG